CGTGACCCCTAAGAGCTCGACGAGGCTTGGCGCGCAGCCTGCCGAAAGCTCGGCTGCCTGCGTGCTTGCTTTTCTTCGCCTCGTAACCCTGCTGCTGGGTTCGGGCACCGGTCGTTCAAGACCTGTGTGCAGGTTAGGAGGAGAGTCTTTGGGGCTCGTGTGCTGACCTAGGCCGCTCCCGGCCCTGAAGTCTGAGGGCGGTCTTAGGCCGGAAACATCCAAGAAAGGGCTCGATAAATGGACACTCATTTATCCTGGTAGCTGGCCGAACTCGAGGGTGATTGACAAAAGCAAGGGCAGAGGATGGGACCGAATCAAAATATGAGACCTTAAGATGTTAGGCTGGGACAGACTATTCTTATGTTTTTAATAAGTCTTCAAGAACTGTTGGATTTTACTACCTTTAAAACCACCCCGAAGCCATAAAGAAAAATTATGCTCATATAAACAGTAGCGACCACTTATATATCGTTTCTTCTTTGTAATGATCTCACTGGGTAGGGTGAAGTTTAAGCGCTTTGGCGTTCATTGTCTAATTTAAGACTCTTTCCAATCCTGTGAAGATACTTGGTGGTATCATTCCTATTATTAGACTTGGCTCTTCAGTTGTGATGCCTAGGTTCATCAGACTTGGCTCTAAGTGACTTTTAGGTGTTTACAAAAGGCACTTCAGGGGCACCTGGGTGGCCCAGTTGGTTAACCCTCTGACTTCATGATCTCAGGTCATGATCTCATGGCTGGTGGGTTCCAGCCCCGTATTGGGCTGGAGCCTGTTTCAAATTCTGTCTCCCTCTCTCAAAAATAAACGAAACATTCAAAAAGAAACAAACAGCTCAGTTCAAAGATGTGCCAAGGATTCTCAAGGCATTTATAACAACTTCAAGAAATGTTTCTGGTAACGGAAGCATAACTTGAGCAAGCTTTTAGTTCATAAGATGACTACTTTGGAGGAGCAATATGTATTTGGTTGTGTAAAATTTAGTGTGCTAAAATCATTTATCACAGACGTTTAATCTTCCCATTGATCTCTGCATGACTGGTTCTTTTTCTTCTGTTCTCAGTTCCTGTCAGAGAGGCCTTCCCTGACTTCCCATATCTCTCATCAAGCTGTTTTATTTTCTTCATAGCACATATCACAGTCTGAATTAACTTGTTCATTTAATGTGTGTTTATGGCCTCACTTACCACCGACACCCATTTAAAATGTAAGTGCCATGAGAGACAGGACCTTGTCTTACTGAATTCCTAGTACCTAGAATAGTGATAATAAATACTTGTTAAGTGAACAAGTGTTTCACATATTTTTCCAAGTCTCCAAGTGTATCATACTCAGCCCAGAAATATAAACAAGCAGCAGACACTGTTTAAAAAGAAGCCATTTATTATACAAAATGAAACCTGAGATTATAGGATATTGCAACACATGGAGTAATAAAGGCATCAGCCCCATGCTCCACCCCCAGTCCAATAAAACAGATTCCTAATCAAGCACTTCTACCACCAATAACCCCAAGCCTGCTGCTGTTGACAGAGCAAACTGAGCCCCAAACTAGAGAAAATTCACATTGTTTGCTTTCTCTTCATATTGGTTCTGCTTGCTCTTGTGGAAATGTAGCACCTGGCTTATCTTGCTCTTTTACGAATACTTTTATGGTAATAGGATTAAAGGAGAACGTCTAAAAAGCCCTGTCCACAAAGCAGGCCTGAGTCTCCAGCCACAATCATTCGCAATCATTCAACAACTGGCCCATTTTGTACATAAAAGTGCCCACTTTGTACATAAAAAGGAATGCCAATCTGAACTGGTGTAATTAGGAGAGGTAAGGATGATTCTACATTTTGCATAACCATCACTTACCCTTTTTATTGCACATAAACTTGAGTCCTAACCTTAGTTTGCATTTGAGTAATGTGTATTTTGCACTATATATGAGCACCTGCATTTAAGTAGATTGGAAGTTCAGGGGCACCTGGGTGGCTCAGTCAGTTGAGTGCCCGACTTCAGTGCAGGTCATGATCTCACGACTCATTGGTTTGAGCCCCACATCAGACTCTGTGCTGACACCTCAGAGCCTGGAGTCTGCTTCATATTCTGTCTTCCTCTCTCTCTCTGCCCTTCCCCAACTCACACTCTGTCTGTCTCTTAAAAATGAATACACGTTAAAAAAAAAAACAAACTACAAAAAAAAATAGATTTCAAGTTTAGAAATCAGAGTCCTGAATTTGACTTCTTTTTGTGGGTCTACATTATACCCAATTTTAATAGTACATTTGAAGGTCTATCTTCCCCTCTTGTGCTTTTCTGCAAAAGCCCAAACAGGTTAAGCAAACTTTCCATGCTGTTGTGAAGGTATTTTTTACTAAAAAATAAAATGAAAATAGAACCATTATGACCGTGAAATCCAGTCTAAATTAGAGCTCTCCTTGGCCACATCCTTAGGTGTCACAATATTAAGTGTGGGACCCTAGTTGTTGAAGCACCTTACATACATAAACACACACACACACACACACACATCTGGTTGTAAATTAGTGTATGTATGTGTATATATATAAGTACATATACATATTAATTTATAGATAACACTGATAAGCTATAGAACTTCTTTAGTGATAATTCATTAATACTACACATTACAACCAGAGTAGCTCTAAGGTCCAAGGTATTTCTTGTTCCACTGGCCCTGAAAAAGCTAATGGTCTCCCTGCCCTTTAAGCTTTATTTTCAAGCCACAGCAATATAAAAGTTTGGCTATATCCCCAAATCTGCCTAACAGCTTTTTACTGAACCAGCCACTTGTGGTGGCTAACTCTTGCCTCACCTCTCAGCCCCTTGACATCAAGGGCAAGTAAATGTTATAAAAAATACAATTCCAAAGAACCATAATACAACCCACCAGGAGTTTTGCTTCACCACCAACATAAGTCTTGCCTCACCTCTCAGCCCCTTGAGTTTAGGTATGTTCCATCCAAATGTAGTCTCAGTAAGTACTATAAAGTTGAACAGAAGGATATCAGTAATAGAATGAGTCAAGTTGGAATATTCATCCCACATGAACTGAAAAGTGCTCCATAGTATGAAGTAATTATTACAACTGTATTGCCGGGCTGTTTTTTCCAATGTAATTTTCATGACTCTTTGGAGGAAATGGGACTTTTGTAGCATTTAAAAATAATAAAATATAGGGGCACCTGGGTGGCTCAGTCAGTTAAGCAGCCGACTCCAGCTCAGGTCATGATCTCTTGGTCTGTGGGTTCGAGCACCATATTGGGCTCTGTGCGGACAGCTCAGAGCCTGGAGCCTGCTTCGGATTCTGTGTCTCCCTCTCTCTGCCCCTCCCCCACTTGCACTCTGTCTCTGTCTCTCAAAAATGAATAAACATTAAAAAAATTTTTTTTAAATAATAAAATATAGAGAAGAGTTCATTAGGCAGACAGAAAAGACCAAAGACCTATAAAAACCTGCAGTTTGATTCACCCTGGTCTATTTTAACATTTAAAAATCATTTAGGGGCGCCTGGGTGGCTCAGTCGGTTAAGCGACTGACTTCAGCTCAGGTCACGATCTCACAGTTTGTGAGTTCGAGCTCTACATCAGGCTCTGTGCTGACAGCTCAGAGCCTAGAGCCTGGTTCGGATTCTGTGTCTCCCTCTCTCTCTGCCCCTCCCCTGCTCATGCTCTGTCTCAAAAATAAATAGAAACATTAAAAAAATCATTTAAATATTAAATTTGTTTTTCTGCCATCATTTCCAGCCATAGTCTCTATCTCTAACCTAAAATAGAGGAGGACAATTCATTAAATTGACATGATATATATTAACTATCAGATCTTTCTGTTCATGAGATGAGAAAGAATTACAGCTATTCCCTAAAAAAGAAGCAAACCAGCAGTAAGCAAAGCTGTCAAAAATCTAAAGCCAGTTTCATGTAGAGGAGAATGAATGTGGGGATGGTGGCATCTTCATCAGATTACGGAAAACCAGGAAAGAAAAAAACCATTAAAACAATTTTTTTTTAATGTTTCCTTTTGAGAAACAGAGAGACAGAGCGTTAGTAGGGAGGGGCAGAGAGAAAGGAAGACACAGAAACTGATACAGGCTTCAGGCTCCAAGCTGTCAGCACAAAGCCCGACATGGGGCTCAAACTCATGAACTACAAGATCATGACCTGAACCACCCAGGCGCCTGAAAAAAAAAAAGTTAAAAAGTTTGACATCAAGAGCAAGTAAATGATGTAAAAAATACAATTCCAAAGAACCATAACACAACCCACCAGGAGTTTTGCTTCACCACCAATGTAACCATTTATAAAGCAGGAGATGAAAAGAGATTAGGAAAGGTATTGAATAGGTGCGCCTGGGTGGCTCAGTCAGTTGAGTGTCTGACTTCGGCTCTGGTGGTGATCTTGCAGTTCATGGCTTCGAGCCCTACATTGGGCTCTGCACTGATGATGCAGAGCCTGCTTAGGATTCTCTCTCTCTCTGCCCCTCCCTGACTTGTGCTTTGTCTCTCAAAGTAAATTTTTTTTTCAATGTAAAAAAAATAAAGGAAAGGTACTGAATAATAAAGAGTTTAAAGAAGAGCACAGAAATTTTAAGACCCTACTAAACGTGGTCCATTTTACCTCATTCTTAAGCCAAGTACCAAGATGTTGTTCCAATCACAGTTAAGAGGATGAAATGGCTAGAGAAAGATGCAATTCTTTAAAGATTCTGTTGAATCAGCACTTTAAAACAAGTGGGTGTTTCAGGCTTCTGTTTTCCATTAATCCAAGAACTAGAGGCCTCCATCTCTCATTGAGGAGAGGCCCTAATACCACAAACTGAGACACTGGATACACATCATTAGGATAAAATATCAGTGGATATAACTGGAATTCCTGAACTCATAATAAGACAGTGTTCGTTAAGGGATATGCAGCAGATGCCCCTCATGTCCCATGGTAGAATAAGGACTTCCATCTCCTTAACTCTACCAATTTTAAGGCTCTTGCAAGGATAATTAGAGATTTTGGTTCCTTTTCATGAAGATCTCATGTAGGTAGTCCCAAAATTTCCTCTGCTTTGTCTCATTGTTGTGGATCATGGCAGTGAGAGCTTCCCCCTGGTCCAGACCTTGCCAATAATCTTGCAGCCACATCTCCTTCCAGCTGAAACATCAAAATGGGAGTTGGATTATGGAACCTCTGCACAGCTACAAGTCCTGCCTTCTGAAATTTTAAGCAGATATAGCAGTCTCTGGCTAAGACAGGGCTCTGCTTTGAAGGAAAGGGAATGTGAAGTAAATCTAGTAGTCTAGTAATAGTACAGGTGACAGCTGCAAACACAAATCTATCACACATCCCACCCCCAATGAGTTAAACTTCCTGACTTGCCCGCTCCTGGTTCCCAAATGTGGTGGGAGTTTAGAAGAAGGCAGGGCAGTGAGGCAGACTATGGAACCAAGTAGTCTAATATGTAGATGGTTACCTTATAAGCTGCAATTTCAATAATCAAAATGAAGGTGCAGTGCTATCCAAAGTCTAGATAAAACACATTTTCTTTTTTTAACGTTTTACACTTTTTTTCCTAGTAAATCATAATATGTTCAGCATAAACTAGAAACAAATTATTTGATGGAAGACTCCATTCCCAGAATCAAACTGTGCCAGCAGTATATATAAACAGCCCTCTGCTGCCATCCACTGTGCAAGTTAGTCTCTGCAGGCCATTCTAGCAGTCTTGCTTTATTAAGCTTAATAATCTTTTATCACCTCTCCCCAAACAGGTGTGGTTTGCTGCAAGTGGCTTCAGCATTTTCCCACCCCACCTCCCGTGCTGACCTTGTTTCCCAATGCACCACTTTCTGCCACCTACTGCAGTAGCTTCCTCACTTCTCTTCCAATCCACACTGCCCAGCAGTGTTTATTCTATCTATTGAAAACATTCCTTCCATTCTGTTTGGGGTGAACATATAATTTATCACCCAAATCAGGGTACTTCTAAGAGTGAAAGGAGGTACTATATGGGGCGCCTGGATGACTCAGTCAGTTAAGTGTCTGACTTCAGCTCAGGTCATGATCTCACGGCTCATGGCTCATGAGTTCAAGCCCTGCGTCGGACTCTTGTGCTGACAGCTCAGAGCCTGGAGCCTGCTTTGGATCCTTTCTCTGGACCTCCCTCACTCACACTCTGTGTCTCTCTCCCTCAAGAATAAATAAACATTAAAAAAAAAATTAAAGAGTGAAAGGAGATGCTATTAATAATTGTGCCAGGTTAATAGATACAAACCCTACTGCAGACAAACCTCTCTCAAAACACCCATCTATGTATTGCTCATCCCCAACCCCAACATTTCAAAGATGCTAAATAAACAGCTGAGTTGGTTTTCGAGACAGTCCAACTCCTAAGCCTGGTATTCAGGCTATGTATAGCCTGGCCCGAGTTTATCTGCCCAACTTTGTCTCTCCCTCATCACTTCCCTAAACAGGCCCCCTCTGCTCTGGTCGAAGCCTTTTTTGAATCACTATTGCAAACATTGCTCACATAAGCTGATTTTCATAGGTTGTTGCCCTGAATTCCACTTTGCATCTTTTCCTGAGCTTTTTCAGGAATTAGACTCTCCCAATTAGACTCTTGACACTTTAAAGGCAGAGTAAGCCCATGTCATAATTTCCCTATACAACAATCCCCTCAGCACCTACTGCTAGTTCACTGCCCACAGTGAGCAAGTAAGTAAATCGCTTGATTTGATGGCCACAGGGACCCCAGCTATCCTTACCTGTCATTCTCAGGAATCTCTTCCACACTGCCAAATCCAGGTGTGGGCACTGGGCAGTCCATGTGTGAGGGCTGGGCAATGTGAGGCTCAGGGACAGGGATGTCCCCAGGAGAGGCTGCGTGTGCTTTCTCGGCCTCCAGCCGAGCCAGTTCATGGTCACAGACAAAACACTCAAAGCCATTGAGGTAGTTAGGCAGCAAAGGATCATTCACTCCCCACTCCCGATACTTCAGACTATCCAGAAGGAACTGGTTGGTGATGCCCCCAGGTTGTTTGTATGCCAGATATTTCATATATTCCTCATCGTTCTTGTCCAGAAAATCAATAAATTCTGCCAGCTTCTGAGGTGACTCAAAGTCATCAATGAGGATGATGGAGTGATTGTTGGGCATCCAGTCCCTCACAGAGGGAGAGCCGCGATACACAGGCACAGCACCAAGATGCATGGGGCGCCACAGCTTCTCTGTCATGTAGTCGTCACAGATGGCATTTTCAAGGGCCAAGTGGAACTTATAGCGAGACAAGAAGGCCAAGAGCTCTGGATCCTCGGTGGTGGCTGTGGCTGTGTCCTGTAACCGCGGAGTGGGCAGCTCCCGATTTTGTAGGCATTTCCCGTAGGAGTCCACCTGTTCGGGGTAGAATACCGCCGTGAAGTGGGTGCGGCGAGACGACCTGGACACCCGGGGTCCTGGCCTCCGCCACGCGCGCCCCCCTCAACCCCCAGGCCCGCCCCGGCCCCACCAACCGGGATGTAACGCATCAGCTCGCGCACGTAGCGGTCCCGGTCCGCAGGCACGTCGCAGTGGGACTGCAGATAGAGCAGCGGCGCGTAGCCGCGTCGGCGCCACTCAGCGCGCTCCTGTAGCGGAGGCGCCGCGCGGCGCAGATAAGCCGTCCCGGGCAGCCACTGAAGCGGCAACGGGTAGTCAGAATAGCGGCTGAACGTGGCAGTAAGATTGAAGAGGCGGATGCCCGGCCCGTGGCTCAGCAGGAAGTTGTTGAGGGGCGACTCCTCGTGCAGGAGCGCCCAATTCTGATGCGCCAGGCGCGGCAGCGGCGCCTCGGAGGCTCGAAAGTCAGTGCCGTAGAAGAGCAGCGCGCGCGTCCGCGAGTGCCCTCGCACCCGTCGGTCCCGGGACGCCACGCACGCGCCGCGCGCGCACTCGATGCGCTCTGAGTCGCCCGGGAAGTGGGGAAATAGCCCTGGGCTCCACCACAGCAGCACCGGCAAGTCCACGGCCTCCTCCCTCCCTGGCTGCGAGGGCCCGGGACTGCGCGCCACCCCCACCGCGCCCAGCGCCGAGGGCGGCCGGAAAACTGCACCATCCCACGGCTCTGCCCAGCCCGCCTCTCCGCCGGTCTCCCCCTGAGCCATGGGCCCAGAGCCGCTGACCGCACAAATACTAAGCACTCCCAGGGCAGCGAGCACAGCCCCGCTGCTGCACGCCGCCATGTCCACTGGCAGTTGCCCCGTTCCCCTCCCGGCAGCATCAGGCCTCCGCCCCGCAGGGAGTAGCGACCTGACGAAGTCCTACGCCCATGGTGCGTGTGGCGCATGCGTAGTTCTGCTCAGCCTACCACTTCCTGGGAAGTGCTAGGCCTAGCAGCAACAAATGGGACGGAAAATGGTAAGTCACAAGTAAAAATGAGGCTAATTGTTACATCTTAATTTATTTTATTTCTTTACAAATTAAAGATGCATTGAAAAATAAACCAATGAAGAGAAATGAGAGGTCCGGAGCAGGGGCATCCCAGGCTGGGAGCAGGCAAGCCTGGCCACCATTAAGCCTAGCCCTTGTCCTGCCCCAGCCAGTTCAGGTTGGAAGATAACGGTCGGCCACTCTGTCAATACCAGAGCTTGAGTGGTGTCCCGGCAGGAGAGAACAGAGCTCCAGCCACCTCTGCCTCTCCCCTCTCAACAACTCCCAGCTTGGAGAAGCAGTGTTTCCAGTGGGAGCTCAGAGTAGGATGGGGCTGGCTCTGTGAGGTATTGCAAATTGATGACCAGGCTCCCAACAGAACCATCCAGTGTTGGAGCCTCTCCAGCTGGGAAAGAGGCTGTTACCTCTCCCAGGTCTTAATATTCTTTGCAACTCACTTCCCAGGCTCATTCATCTCTGACAATGTGCCTCTATCCACTTAGTGATCACCAATCATTGCAGGAGACAGAAGAGCTAATCAACCACTCTCCAACTTTGACTTGGCTGCTGATTTCCAGGCCCAAAAAGGACTGACCAACCACTTTTCTCTCCACCATCTATGGTCTATACCCCAGCTCTTGTGCACCTGAATGTTTCGTCCCTAATATAGGAAGTTTTTGATGACACTGAGCTGAATTAGCCCCTACCCACCCCCGTATAGTACCCCTGGGATTCCCACTCCTTCCTGCCTGCCCCTCTCTTCTTGGAGGCTGGTCTAAGGGGACACATAATATTGCCAGAGTCTGGTTGCCTCCAAATCCCCCAATACCGAATCATATACAGTGAACTGAGAAACTACATTCATTACGACAGGATTAGCAGGAAAAGGAGGGTAAAGTGAGGGGATAGGGGCACCTTCCATCAGCAGGACATGACAGAGTGGTAGGATACTTGATTCCAGAAAGGTGTCTCCTTATACCTCCCCCTCCCCCCAGAGAGATTGAGGTCAGCTTACATGACTTATAAGATAATGGAACTGTTCCAATTTCTCTGCCATCCTGGTGTACTTTCTGGAAGCTGGCCTGGGACCCTATGCCATTTACCCACTTGCTCTAGCTCAGTAGCTGCCGAATTTCCTTGTGCATATGACAGAGAAAGTCCACATAGGATGCTCCCCCGCTTAAGCTCTTGTCTTCCACCAGGAAGTGCTTGAACAGCATCTCCAGCTTGTCCTCCTGTTTCACCACGATAAGCTATGGCCAGAAGACAGGGTCATGAGGCAGGGCCAAAAGGAATTAAACATGCCCTAAAATCCCATTATCCAATCACTTACTCCCACCCCCCATTCCAGGGGAGGACTTAACAAGGTAAGAAATGCAGAGTTTAGATCAGTGTTACCTTCATGTACCGTGACCTCTGTGCCCTTAAGCTATCAATGAGGCCTCGCACCTTCTTGGACAGTGGATTATCCAGAACTGGCAGAACACTCTGCAACACAAAATTCATTTATCCTTATGGTAAAATTCTCTGAGTCAAGGCAAAATGGGGCAGCAAAGAATTATTCATTATCTGAAACAAGCCTCGGAATAATGACAGCATCCCCCATCCCCTCCAAGGATTCCCTGCTATTAAAGGGGACTAGCATACAAACTTTACTGACTCCCACTCATATCACAAAATGCTTTTCCACACCCATATTCCCCTTGACTTCCTGCCCTCACCAAGCCACTGGTGATCTGACTGAAGGAGGAGACACTGAAGAGGCTCTGGACAACACCCTGTTGGACACTTGCTCCCACCCACAGGAAGAGGTTGAGCCCATTCTCCAGCAAGTATATATCCCCATTGCTCAGACGCTCTTCAGATGCTCGAACTGCTGGTGGTTCAGTGGCACTCTCAATGGGAGACTTTGTCTAGACAAAAGGAAGGGGCAAGAGGTTATTTACCAAGGGCCATAAGACAAGTTTGCCCCTCACCACACACACGTGAAATTTCAGAAAGCTAAATCAGTAACTCTTTCAGTGTGAAAATTATATCAGATAATGTAGGTTAGAAACAAATTCACTAGAGTCAACCACAGATAATATTAACCTTTCCCTTCCTCCTTCTATGATGCCCCTTTCTCAGTGCAATGTCTCACACCCCAGCCCTTAGTCGCACCAATGGTAGGAGCCGAGGATAAAAGAAGACATTGGTCTCGGCCACATCCATGGAGGTAACCAGCTGTCGGACGTAGGCACGGTCATCAGTAGTGACTTCAGCTCCAGGCTGCAGGACATCACTCTTCAACACACAGTTCAGGTAAACTGGGAGTAGCTTCATGCACTCAGGAAGGATCAACTGCGGGGATTATCAAAGTAAAGTTAATAATCATGAGAAGTCTCTCCCAAATGCAAAAATTTGTCCTAACAATTCCTCCAACATGCTTGTCCCACCTGTCCTGCAGAGGAGGGGCTGGCACAATTCTTTCTGTAACAGGCCAGGATCTGGGCACACTGAGTGATGAGAGTGTCACGAACAGTCTTCACAGGGCTATTTAGGACCCCCCGGTATGCTGGATGTGAAAGGGAGACAGCACAGTCACTGGCTAGCCACCCCATCACATGTGCTTTCCCACCATCACACCTACCCGGGAATGCTGAATCACCAACAACCACCTTTCTCTCACCCCAATCCCCCCTCGCCCTGCCTCTACCCTCACCAAACTTGGCCATGTAGTTGATGAGTGTGTCAGTCTCACAGTTTCGATACAGATCAGCCAGCTGGGTGCAGCAGTTCAGGGCCAGGTTGTGGATGCGGAGCCGTCGCTGCCCTGCACAGCTGGTGTAGAGCAGAGCACACTAGGGGAAGGGAGAAAAGGAGAATTCATACCCCTCCCTCACCAAAGCCCTCTGAAAAACTGCTCCTTTGCTAGATTAGTAAGATAGAGGAAAGACATGAGCCATCCCTTCCCCAGCCTCTTCTAGTCCTCTCCACCCACCTCTTATCCTCTTCCCTGCAGCCTATTTATATCCAGTACAATGAACTTGACAGTTCCTCCCCAACCCCTGCCTCCTGCCTGCTACCTGCAGGAGGGCTCCGCTCTCTTCATTGAGCCGATCATCATGCTTGAACTCCACAGTCACCGTCTTGTCCCCGTCCAGCCCAGCCAGCTCCACATCTGTTGTGTTGCTCATGTAGAAAGCCCCAAAGAAATCTACAGCACGGATACCTGAAGCCACATGGATAGAGTCAGGGCTACAAATACGACAGGTGCCACTTGCCTCCCTTCCAGATTTAGCCCCCAACCTGCTCTTCTCCAACCAGGACTGACCAGTGCTTGTCCGAACACGCATCACAGCATCAAAGCCAACAACCTTCTGTACGTCCCGACGCAGGTCACTCAGGAACCGTTCCTGGTCATTCTCCACCTGCAGCCCCCCAGGCCCAGAGTCACATCACTGACTACATAACACCCTGCAGATTATCTCCCTGCATCCCCTCCACTCTACAAGCTGCTGAATCATAGGAACAGTGACGATGATAATAATGATAGCTTTTAAGCATTTGCTACAAGCCCAGTACTACATTATTTTACATATAACTACTTATTCCGGATAATAAATCTTAAATATTAAAATCCCATTTTATAGGGGCACCTGGGTGGCTCAGTCGGTTGAGGGCTCGACTCTTGATTTTGGCTTGGGTGTGACCTCACGGTCATGGGATTGAGCCCTGCATCAGGCTCCACGCCGGACATGGAACCTGCTTGGGATTCTCTCTCCCTCTCCATTTGCCTCTCTATCGCTCAGAAAAATGGGGGGTTGGGTAGAAATCCCATTTCACAGATGAAGAAACAAAGAAAAAATAAGTAATTTCTCCTAGGTTATATAGTGAGTATTCTGGAAGGGCCAGAATAACAGCTGAAGACTGATTCCAACCCCATGCTCCTAACCACTACCCTTGTTACTCTCTTCTTTACATTATGGGGTCTTCTCCTCCAACAGTATTCCTATTAATGAGTCAGCAGTTAAAGAGCTGCTCCACACGTAGGCAGACATTGTCTGTCCGGCTTCCACCTGCCACCCAGAGTCCCATGCCCTACCTGAAAGCAAGCATATTTGTAGACAGAGCCACCAGTGAGCTGGGGTACAACAGAGAGCGTGGCCACATCCACATACTGGTTAGGGAAGAGGAAGAGGTCTACACAGCAGCCTTGGGCCACACACTCTTTGGCCAGGGTCTGATAGGCACCTGTCTGAGGCTGGAACAGAGTCTGGGAAGGAACAGGAGAAAACATTCGAATATCTCAGCTCTACCCTATTTGAAAACTGTATATTTAATATGGGATATTCAAATATATGTAAGACTTCAGATCTACCTCATAAGCATTTGCAGGAGTAGTAGAACATTCTCTTAAAAAGAAGAATCTATCAAGGGGCACCTGGGTGGCTCAATCAGTTGAGCATCCGACTTTGGCTCAGGTCATGATCTCACGGTTCATGAGTTTGCGCCCCACATCAGGCTCTGTGCTTACAGCTCAGAGCTGGAGCCTGCTTCAAATTCTGTGTCCCCCTCTCTCT